CCGAGTGAATTGGGGAACTACTCCATGAGTAAGAAGATGAATACAGAGTGTCTAATTTTGTGCCTAGTACTTTGATCAAGTCTATTAGTATACTAGTGTGAGCCCCAGCCATTTGGCCGGAAGAAGGTGAGGTATGAAATGTGATAATGTAATGGGGTGTATAGCTTATTGTTGTATAGTTTTTTTTGGGAAACACATGATAAAAATAGTGAATTTTAGTAGGAAAGAGACATGAATGATGCAACGAATCAAAAATCAACCTTATTAACCAAAATCAAGTACCTGTTACCTTGTGAAACAATATTGTTTCTGGTAATATGATGAGGTGGAGTAAGTTTTATAGAAACCGAATTCCAGAAAACCGAATAAAAAATCGCCTATCCTGCCGGTTTTCGGGAAATGAGCATCTCACAATCGTTGCTAGCTTTTACTCGGCCCGTTGGCCGATTAATTTACTTTATAAAACTTTCATCTTGTCATCATTGTGCTTTCTGGTTTTTTGCCAAGCCATGATAAAATCTAAAGAAATCAAGAATGAACAACACGATTTGGGATAGGAACCACCATTCCTGTATCCCTAGAAAATGGTGGTAAACACGGACTCACCTGCCAAACTGGTTTGGATTGAGATTTTTATCGGGTATCAGGGAACCATGTGATTATAAATTAGACTTGATCAAAACGGGCCAAAACTTGAAATTCAGCTTGTTTGACCGACCCATGTCACTCTAATTATTCTTTACTTTTAAACTTTCTATTTGAAAATAAAAAATAATGAAAGAAAAGAGATGACTGCAATTCGCCATTTGCAAAAAACTGATTCGGGAATAAAACTATATAATTTCGAAAGGAAATTGAAAATGTTTAGGATTGTTTTAATGTTAAAAATAACCAAATAGATCTTTCTGTTTAATTTTTTACTAACAAATACCAAACGATTCCCTATAATATACACTATAATTTAATCATTATGATATCAAATAATTACATATATATATTTGAAATGATAAAAATTGGATTAATTGGGTTGGTCGAGGTTGAACCATTGAATAACTTTAAAATACATTATATTTTAGCCACTAAGATATAAAATAATAGAATAATATATATTATGCTAGAGAAAATAGCTTGTTTTAGAATGACAAACCCATGATGTTCATTTGTTTTACTTGATGGGCAAATCCCGTGTAGGTCAGACCCATTCAACTCTTTTATTTTATGATTAGCGGTTAGCCCATTAGAATCCATGCATTAGTTTATTGTTAATTTTTTTTCTTTTTAGCAATAAAAAGGAGTATTGTTTTTGCCTTTTCATATATATTTTACCACCACGGAGAAATAAAAGGACTTAAAGAAAAAAATTGACACTCCTGGACCCGTTTAAATCCGCATGTGTACGGTAAGTTGGCTCATTCCACAAAGGAAAAAGAAAAAAAATTGACACTCCCTATTCTACCCTTCCTACAAACGCTCATGAAGCACGGAATTTGAAATGGGGGAAGAGTTTTTTCCTCTCTGCGATTATATGTTTTTAATTTAAAAAGATACAACAAATGTACTTAGTGTGATTGGTTATGATCTTTGCTTGTCTTTAAAGTGGTCATTGTTCGAATCCTAGTAAGTGTCTTTTTAATGAATAAAAAAAAGTAATTGTGAAGACCAAAATGTCCTTCCTACTTTCACTCTGGATGCAGAAAATTTGAAATGGGGCTTCAAGTTTTTTCATTTGGCTTTTATTTATTGTGTAGATTGGAGGTAACCCTAATTTTTTTTGTTTACTCTCAAGTTTTGATGGTCCTCTCTTAGCTGAGTGGTTTGTATATAGTTGACTTGAATCAACAACTTTGCATTTTTTTTATTAGTGGCATATTGTTCCTAAAAGGAGAGCATTGAACCCTTTATGTAGGTTGTGAGGTTTAATTTAGTTTCAAACTATTTATGGGTCGTGTGGGAATTCCATTGACCTTTTATACTCTATATTTCTTAACTATCAACTAACCAATAGCATTTTAACGGGGCTTAATTATCATTATGAAAATGAGATCAATAATATATTTTTACATTTTATATTCTTAAATAATGATGATATTTTTTCGAATGTACGACATATATATTCTTTCTTTATGTATTATCTCGATCGAAAATTTGTCAATAAAATTAAACGGTTTGATAGACTTAAACGTAACATAAAAAATATAAATAATTAAGAACTTTACTACGGTGACATGCATGTCACGGTGACATGCACTTTTCGGTCGACCTCATGTAGGATTAGGTCGACCTAATCTATTGTTTCAGTGTAAAAACAGTTTCATGGTGTCTACTTTGGAGATTCATATCTTACAATTGGCTAGATGGAAATTGGAGATTAATGACTTGTTTTGAAGCTGAAGTGTCCCTCTACACATTACGGTACTTGGGAGCTCGATAGGAAGTCCAGAAGACCATTTTTGAACCTGATCAAAAGGCTATGCCAAAACTGGGAAACTGCCTGAAAATGGCCAAGTCTGAGAACGTGTTTGTGAAGCCTACTTTGGAGCTCAATTCGAGAAGCATGGATGCGAGTCGAGTCCAGGGGTCTCTACCACATTAAATTAGGTACGTTTTTATAAAAATTCAAGGCATTGGATGAAAGATTGGATATCTGTAAGGATTCAAACAAAATGTTCGAAGTTGCTACAAAGACTGTTGTTCTTGCTTGCATAAAAACAAGCCTTCTTGCTGGCTTCTACAGGAACAGAGTAATAAGAGCATATTCTTGCTCACTTCCCCTCTGCAGCTGGTTGACTCTTACTGGCTTCTTCATGAAAGGGATTGATCATGACGACGATGGCGGAGAGAGAGGTCTCTTTAATTGAAAGGGAAATGAACCCACGTACCATTTTGTTGTTATTTTCCTACTAACAGCAAACCAAGAAGCTAGCTGTACTGCAGAATTAGGTAAAGGGCATTGATTATTATCACATAAGCATCATCAATTGTTATCTACCCATCTCCAAAATCCAAACAGTAACCTCACTTCATGAGCAACGACGGCATATAGCCAAAGGACACACTTGAACTAAGCGTTAACTAGGTCTCTGGCTAGATAGCTAGGCTTGCTTGCTAGCTAGCTAGCTGCAGATAAGAATAGGATAAACAAGGGTTCACTTCACTTTGATCCGAATTTTTCTAGTTTAATCAATTTGTATTTACTTTTTTTTTAATCGAAATTTTAAAAAAATTTGCACAAATATGACGATCGAGTTCACCCATTCTGGCAAAGAAGACCATTAAGAAAGAAATAAGGAAACGATAAGATGGATCTTGGTTTGCCGACTGGTGGTGAGACACCAACTCTTACAAAAAATAGCAGCCACAAACTCATTCCCCTTTGCGGGGATTTAATTGGCACAATATATTGATGACAGACAAGACAAAACAGTCCCTTTCTTCAACTTTTCCTGTGATCGTCTGCCCTCATTTTTTGCAAATTCAATTATGACATTAGACCTTTTGTAAACCGCAAAGGCTACCTGCTGCTGTCCTGCTCTCTCTGCACCTACCCCACTCCATCTTCATGTACTACTGATCGGAGTTGCAAAATAATGGGTAAATGCTAGAAACGTACTTCACTATACATATGGGCTATGATGATGAATTAGGACATTGAAGAGTCTTTTGCATGCTATATATGAGCTATGCTATCAAATGACTTGTTTATCAACAAAAGTCAAAATGAATTACTTGTAAATGACTTATTCCCAAATGATTTGATTTTTGTAACTATTTTTCAATCTTAACACTCCTTTTTTCTTATATCCAATACCAATCCTTTTTTATTTTGTATTCGTAAACTCGTTACTTTCCAATTATTTTTGAACAATATTTTTGAACTATTTTTCATTAATATTTTTGAATTATTTCTCGTATTATATATAATAGTTACTATTTTGAAGTATATTTTCAATTACTTTTTTTTATTATCTTTTTTCACATAATTTGTAACAAAGTTATTGTAGTATATCAATGATAACGGGTTCGGATGGAATCATTTTTCTACATATTATTTTCTAACCACGTTTTTTATATCATACTCATTTCTTGTAGGTGGCGTTGTAATATGACTTACCGAACCATACCCGCATGCGGTTCTAGAAAATCCATCCACATATGATCTTTGATTTGGTTACTTAAAATACGCACAAAATCAACTATCTTTCTGGTTATATTCGATGAAAAACACCTAAAATTAAAATGGATTGAATTTTCTAAAGTATATTACTTAACACGGATTGATCATGCCAATAGGACAAAGTAACTCTTGCCTAAAATAGCAGCAATAAAACATTCACTTTTTCTGGGAGCATTTTGTCCATGGTGGTACTAACTACTAACTAGTAACTACTTCTACTTGCTATTACATGACACTATACAACGCCTTATCCTCTGAACCTTTTCCCTGTAGTACTTTCGCAGTGGATTTGGCAAGTTGATGAATTGTGAGATTAGACCTTCTGTAAAGAGAAATAAGACGCTGGTCCCCCATGGCCATGAGTACCACTCAACTTTCGCCCCATTTGCTTAATTAATCCATTGGAAAGTTGCAGATATGAATGACTACAGAAAATTGATCGAGTAATTCAACTATATACATACATTTAACGTACAAAAATACTATATATACATACATTCATACATACACGCATACTGATACTGCATCGTCATGAATTAGGACATGATGATCATAACATAACCTGAAGAAAGCCAGAGTCCAAGATGAAGAAGTTACTTGAAGGTAGCACGTACCCCTGAATTTCCCATCCCATGAAATCATCATCAGCGCAGCTAAACCCACTAAGCAGTTGCTCCCAGCGGCGGATTTATGGACCACCGGCCCAGCCCTTCCTCAATCCCGGAGCTAATATAGTACTTGTAAATTTTCGATTTTTGGTGTTTGTTTCAATGTTCTTCGTGTTACGGCCCAGCCTTCTCGTTTTTTTCCATTGTGACCCAATACTCTACCCAATCCTGGATTCGCCGCTGGTTGCCCCAGTACTACAGGAGCTCTCGCACAGCAATTGCTCCAAGAAAGCAGCTCCAAGATCTTCAAACTCCACCACTTCTTCTTCCTCCTCCTTGGCCTTGGCCTTGACTCTCTTGTTCTGCCGGCGGAGGGCCTTGCGCCTGATGTAATGCGACTTCTTGAGCGCCTGGGCAGGGGAGGAGTGCTCGGCGTCGAACCCAATCTCCCGGAGGGACCTGCTGACGTCATCCGCGGGGAAGTTGAGGACGGCCTTGGCCCCCTGGAGGGACAGCGCCGCCTGGTCGTACGCCAGCGCCGCCGCCTCCGGTGTGTCGAATGTCCCCAGCCACACCCGCGCGCCGCGCCGGGTCGAATCCCTTATCTCCGCCGCGTACTTCCCCCACGGCCGCGTCCTCACCCCTCTGTACGCCGACTTCTTGCTGCTGCTGCTGCTGCTGCTGCTCGGGGAGCTGGCTTCCTCCGCCGCCGGCGACGGAGTGGCAAATAGCGCCGGCGCGTGGGGAACGCTGCTCATGAGGTCGGCAGAGGAGGAAGGTGAGACGTTGGGTGGGAAATAGCTAGATCGATGGTTTATTGTCATCACCAGCAGCAGCACAGCAAAGCAATAATAATACCTAAGAGCTGTTCATTTATATTTTATTTTTTTTATATAAAGGTCAAGTTGGGATTTCGTTTTTTCTGCCTTTTTTTTCAAAAGTTTAAAAAGAAATATATATTTTTTGGCAGGGCATATTGACCACACATCGCACGGATATAACTAACGATCGATGACATCACTTCTAAGAAAAAAAATCAAGATGACATCATATATCACCGAATAAATCTAAAAGATAATGATAGAATCTTAAAAAGATTATATTTGAAAAACAGATAAATTATACAAAGTAATGGCTCAAAATTTATAAATTATAAAAAGGAAATTCCCTACTATCAATTGCATGCCTACCTGTTTACAGAAAATTTGCATAATTATGTAAAATTTTCGTTCTTATTAGGATTAATAGCATTATGTACCCTTTAGTTTGATAATTAATAAACGTATCCTTCTACTAATATTTTTACACAAACATATCCTTCTACTTCTAAATCGTAACAAGTTTACCCTTCCTTCTATTTTTCTCGTTATGACCATAACAGAAATTTATCTTCTAGATATGCAATCAATGTACGTGGATATCATGAAAGCATTCGATTCAGTTAGATGCTATTATTTTTGAATTATGATGAAACTGATGGCTTTCCCATACCAATTTGTGAATTGGATACGCATATTGCTTACAAACAACTCATTATAGTATCAATATCAATGGGTCTGTGTGGGGTTTTTAGAGCTCAGAAGGGGGTTAGACAATGTGATCCATTATCACCTTACTTATTTACCATTGCTATGGAGGGGTTTTCGGGTCTGATGAGGCAGGAAGCAGTGGCTAGCACAGTTCCTTTCCACCCTTTATGCAAGAAAATCAGTCTCAATCACCTTAGCTTTGCAGATGACTTACTAATCTTTACAGTTGGGTGAGGGCAAGCTATTCGAAGAGCGCAAATGTTTCTGGAAGAGTTTTACAAGTTATCAGATTGAAATGCAATCCAACAAAATGTAAAGTTTACTTTGGAGGGGAGTCAGTAAAGTATAAGGCAAAAGCTTTGCAGCTTACTAGGTTTCAGGAGGGTCATTTGCCGGGTAGATACTTGGGGTTGCCTTTATTAACTGGAAAGTTGTCTTCTAATTAAAGAAGTAGACTGTTTAGTTGATAAACTTACCAAGAAGATTAAGACCAGGAGGGGAAAGAAACTATCCTATGCTGGGAGACTTGAGCTAGTGTCTTCAGTGTTCATGGGCATAATTCAATATTGGATGCAGATTTTCTTGCTGCTTAAGAAGGTGATAAAGAGACTGTATAGATCATGTTTGAACTTTCTGTGGCATGTAGATGGGGAAGGAAAAGTCAAAGTTGCTTGGGAAGGGTAGCCAAACCAAAGAAGGAAGATGGGATGGGAGTTAAAGATCTGATATCATGGAACATTGCGTGTGTGGGAAGAATGCTCTGGTTGTTCTTAATGGAGTCAAGGACTATTTGGGTAGCCTGGATGAAGACTTACCGGTGTGGGGAGGATTCTAGTTCCTCACTGAAGCTAACTTCTACTGGTTCCTGGGAGTGGCGCAAAATTCTAAAGCACAGAGGATTGATTGGATCCAAGCTTAGTAAACAAGGAACAGAGGTGTTGTGGGATGGAGCTCCTATGCCTACATACTCTGTAAGTACTGTCTGGAACTCTAACAGAGTGCATGTGAAGCATGTGCGTTGGATAGAGTGATTTGGAATCAATTATGCACTCCTAGGTTCAGTATTATTGCATGGCTAGTACCGCTTGACAGTATGATTACAAAGGATAAATTGAAGCAGTGGGGTAACTTGATTGATCCAACATGTTTGTTATGTGATGTGGCTGATGAATCACGGGAACATTTGTTCTTCTCATTTGAGTTTTTTTAAAGAGTTGGTTTAGCATCTTGGTCTAGCACAATTATTTTCTCGCACCTCTTGGGATACTACAGTTGCAGCTGCCATTGAGGCTTCTGCAAAGACATCTGATCATGACCGAGTTATTGGTCTTTTATGGTGTGTTCTTGTTGATATGACTTGAATCGGACTATCAGCCGCTACGACTGGTAATCGGGGGTCTCGCTGCCCGGTCAGCGAGTGGGGTTCAGGGGCAACGCCCCCGGCCCACGGTGTATGGGCTCAATGTTATTTGGGTTCGGGTTCTGGGCCTGGTCTGTAACCGTTTCCTTTGCTAGATTGGATTAGGTTTAGACCCACATGGAGAAATACTATAAATACTTCTCATACTCCTCTGTAATCTGTAATCTCCATGATATAGTGAAATCGGCTCTCTCTCTCGCCCGTGGACGTAGCTAACACACATCGTGTTAGTGAACCACGTAAATCGTGTGTCGTGTTTTCGATTCTCGCTTTCGTATTCTTGCTTTGTCGATTCCGGCGATTTCCCGATCCGTAGCAGCGCGTTTATAACAAGTGGTATCAGAGCGCGGCTGGAAATCAGGCTAGGTTTTTCAATTCAGAAGAATGACGTCGGTGAACATGAAGATCGAAAAGTTCACGGGGAAGAACAGCTTCGCTATATGGCAGATCAAGATGCAGGCTTTATTGAAACAACAAGGGCTGTGGGGGCCGCTGTCTGCGAAACAGAAGAAGGCAGCGGTCGATGACGATGAGTGGAATACCCTGGAGGAGAAGGCCCACTCGACCATCATGCTATCGTTGTCTGATGACGTCATCATTGAAGTCGCTGCTGAGAAGACTGCCGCGGGCTTGTGGTTGAAACTGGAGAGTCTGTATATGACGAAGTCTCTAACCAACAAGCTGCATCTCAAGCAACGGTTGTTCAGCTTGAGGATGCAAGAAGGTACGCCTTTGAGGGAACATCTCGAATAGCTTAACTCTATTTTGCTGGATCTGCGTAATATAGATGTTCAAGTTGATGACGAGGATGCTGCCCTAATCCTACTGGTTTCTTTGCCGAGTTCATATGAGAATTTCGTCGATTCTTTTATTGCTGGTAAAGAAAGCGTGTCATTGGAGGATGTCAGGTCTGCTCTTCATACGAGAGAGATCAGGCATAAGGCGTCTGGTTCTGGTACAGGTGGTGAGGCATCGGGTTTGGCTGTTACAGGTGGAAAGGGAAAGAAGAAATCTGGTAAAGGGAATTCGAGCAAGAATTCCAAGGGTCCCGGTCCACAGCCAGGTGATGCTTGTCACAACTGTAAGGAAGTGGGGCATTGGAAGTACAGCTGTCCCAAGAGAAGAGGGCAACAAAAGAAACAAGGTTCAGTTGTCGTGGCAGAAGTGGACAACAGTTCTGAAGACGATCTCGCCTTGGCTGTAGATGAAAAGGCACATCGTGGTGATGTGTGGTTTCTGGATACTGCAGCCTCATACCATATGTCTCCAAACAGGGATTGCTTCACAACCTTCGAGCAGATAGATGGTGGTAACGTGGTCATGGCTAATGGAGCTGTCTGCATGGTTGTTGGAATCGGGTCCATAAAGGTTTGGACACATGATGGTTCGTTCTGTACCTTGAATGATGTCAGGCATGTTCCACGAATGACAAAGAACCTGATCTCCTGAGTCTACTCGACAGCAAGGGCTTCAGCTTCAAAGGAAAAGGTGGAGTTGTGTATGTCTGCAAAGGTTCAAGGAAGGTGCTGAAGGGCGTGAAGCGTGGGACCTTGTATGCATTACAAGGGTCTGTGTTGTCTGGTTCTGCTGCAGTTGCATCGTCTCAGGTTCAACAGGAAGATATGACCACTCTCTGGCATATGATACTGGGGCATATGAGTGAACGGGGGATGCAAGTTCTATCAAAGAGGGATCTTCTTTGCGGGCACAAGGTGCAGAATTTGGAATTCTGTGAGCATTATGTGTTTGGGAAGCTACATCGCAGCAAGTTTCCCAAGAAGGGTATCCACCGGACGAAGGGGATACTGGATTACCTCCACTCCGACTGTTGGGGTCCTTCACGAGTTGAATCCATTGGAGGCAGCAGGTATTTTCTGTCTATTATTGATGATTATTCGAGATTTACTTGGATTTTCATGATGAAGCAGAAAAGTGAGGCTTTCACGAAGTTCAAGCAGTGGAAGACATTGGTGGAGAATCATACCGGGAAGAAGATCAAGAAGCTGCGAACGGATAATGGTCTGGAGTTCTGCAGTTCTGAGTTCAACGAATTCTGCAAGGATGAAGGGATTGCCCGTCATCGGACTGTTAGAGATACACCCCAGCAGAATGGCGTTGCAGAAAGGATGAACCAGACATTGCTGGAGAGAGCACGGTGCATGCTCTCTAATGCTGGACTAGAGAGAAGATTCTGGGCAGAAGCAGTAAACATGGCGTGCTTCCTGATCAACCATGGACCTCACACAGGTATCGAGTGTAAGACTCCTTATGAAGTGTGGTATGGTAAGCCTGCTGATTACTCTTCACTGAAAGTTTTTGGGTGTCCTGTTTATTATCACGTGGATGAGGGTAAACTGAACCCAAGGGCAAAGAAGGGTGTATTTGTGGGTTACGGAGATGGAGTTAAGGGATTTCGAGTCTGGTCACCTTCTGAGCATCGAGTTATACTTAGTAGAAATGTGATATTTGATGAGAAGTCTATGTTTAACCCCATGTTGAAGGTTACTGTTGTTGAAGGTAGCAGGAATGTTGATAAGCAGGTGGAGCTGCAAACTCTCAATGAGAGTGAGTTTGAGCACCAAGGTGGAGAAGATCAACATGATGAGGATGTCTCTGCAGAGCCAGAAACTTCAGAGTCAAGTGCACAAGCTAAACAGTCTATTGCTTCCGGTAGACCGAAGAGAGCGACTGCAGGAATACCTCCACAGAGGTATGGCTTCGAGGACATGGTGGCGTATTCATTTCAGGTTGCTGAGGAAGTGGATGCAGGAGAGCCACAGTCCTATAGAGAAGCATTTTCGGGTGGTGAAGCTGATCAGTGGCTTGCCGCAATGGGAGATGAGATGGAATCCCATGACAGGAATCAGACTTGGGA